GAACAAATAAGAACAATCGCCTTCATATAGTGCTCAGAATATGACATTCATAAAACTTGTTCAATATCATTAGAGAACTCTAAATCTTAAATACTGAAAGCCACCTCTGATAAGTACAATGTACTATGCAAGATAATGATATAACTGGACTAAAAATACACACAACCTGTAATTAACTGCCTTTACAGCGCTTTCGCGCTTTAATTTGTACTTTGTACACAAACAGTGTCTTGACCCGATAGTTACATTTTTTGTACATCATAATGGTGGCTCATTACGTATAATGGACAACTATACATTCCCAATTCTTATATTATAGTATTATATGTCTTTGATTAAACCATGGCCAATATTATCTTTAATTATGACATAGTTTTTGCATGATAGTTGGGTTTCAAACTGTAGTATCTGTCTGTACATATCACATGACCCAGTTAGTTCACGTAGAATATTCAAGTTTTTTTACAATTAATTGCAATCTATTATATTTTATAAATAAAATGCATGACTGTACCTTCAAACTGGATATCTATATCCATAATTAATGAATAACAGAAGTAATCTTGCAAATTTTATCCATAAGCACATGTTAAATCTATTTATATCTACTTCCTGTCATTTAGGCGGGAAAATAGGGAGACTTAGTTGTTGACATTGAATATGGTTACTTATAGATCTATAGACCAAAGATAAATTTATAGATTTAAGAATTCTTTATAAATGGTTCATGACAAATAAAAATTTAGATTTTAGGGCAGTATTAAGTCTGTATCTATGTTTGATTATCACCAAAGACAAGAAAGGTTAATATTTACATGAAATCTATGGCAAAATGTTCTAAAATTTATGAAAAATTTCTTTTTATTAAAATTTAAGATAGAAACTTGGTTCAAATAATAAAACAATATTTGCAATTGCTCTTGTTAATTTTATATCTTCTTTATATGACCGGAATCCTTTCACATACAACAATTTTTTTTCTAAAAACTAGAAAGTTTTTTAAATTGAACATTTTTGTTCTTTTTTGAATGATATTTTATTTTTATTGATTTTGGATTTTGTAAAAGATTTAATTACTTTAAATTCAGATGAATATTTTATTATGAATCATAATTTATTTATTTAAAAAAAATATTAAAGTATACAAACTGTTTTTTTATTTACTTCTTTTTTACCAATAATTTTCTGAATCAATGTCTACATAACACAGTACCACAGTGTTAAAACAAAACAAGAGACATAAAAACTACAGTAACTAGAGCTAAGCGACGCGATGCGACACAACTGATTGCATGAAATATTTCACCAAGAAGTCCACACACGTTACCCTGGTGCTATCCAAAAATTCTGGGGAGAACACTGTGTTAAAAAGAAATTTGCTTTGTGAGTTCATTTTTCAAATCTTTTATTAATATGTACTAAATACAACCTTGGTGCATTTAAAATTAAAGTTATTTTTTGTCCTAAAATGTTTCTTTCATAAATCAATGAATATTCATATATACTCCTTAAGTAATGTCTTCGTTTGTGTTTCTGAATTATTTTCTTAATCTAGCTCTTAACATCAACACTTTGTTGTTAATTGTTTAGTTAAAACAAATTTTAGTAGTCTTAATTATCACTGTTATTAACTTCGTATGCACCTTGTAATAACCGCTGGATACCAAAAATCTACAATGACCAGATGACCAGGTTATAATTAATTTACCTTTCTCAATGTTTCTTTGATGTAGACATTTTTATCACCCAGATTAATTTGCACATGACATAGATTACGAAAAATCAAACAAGGCATAAGATCACTCAGTATTTTGTTTTCACTGCATTTATTTGCAAAACAGTTGTTATCAAATTAATATATCGCACCTAATATTCTGTATATTTTTTTGTGATTTTTTTGTTCTCACGTGGCAAGCCCACTTCGTATGTACTACAGTAGAATAACAAAAAAATAAATGAAATAATAAGAATAATTTCAATTTATTTTCCTGAAGATTATACACAGGAAAGTGATAGACTTTGTCGGAAATACGTGCATGGCTTCATTTTTAGCATGAATGATTTATAATCTTTTTAACTGGCAAGTTATGATTTTTACATCCTACATTATTATACCAGGATATTTACATGAAAAAAGTATACACCGATTCATTCAAGGTGAAACTCTATCAAAAGTTAACAATCAGGACTATTCTCTTAACACGATAAGCTAACAATGTTTCACCGCCTTACCAATGGAAATCAGCGTTACTAAGAAAGGGGGATCACTGATTTAAAAAATGCCCGTTTGTTCTGATAACAGAATTGATTTTATGCCTACCAACTTGCCCCACTAGTAGGCACTACTGAAAAGTAGTGCAATTCTGATGATTAAAGGTCTTCCAACTCGTCCCACTTATGAAAAAAAAAATTAAAATCCGCTGAATTTGGGCCTATAACTCGCCCAAATTATGTAAAAGATTTAAATCTCGCTGAATTTGGCCCTACCAAATTGCCCAACTAAGGAAATGTAGTTTAATCCCAATGATTTTAGGCCGACTAGCCCCACCATTAAAAAGCAGTTTTATCTTCATAATGCTCTTCAACTTCTTACTTTATTTGTCCTTATTTACTTTTTTTATTCGATCTCTAGCCTATTGTAGATGGAATGTACATCTGGCGTACAAAATTTTAATCCTGGTAACTATGTTTAGTTTTTTTAATCCAGATGAATAAAAGTCTGCCAAATCCCCCCACCTATGAAAAAAAAGAATTTAATTCTCTATGATCAGTCGAGGTATAACTTAAACAAGTTATTACAGAAAATAACAGGCATACTGTTATTGTGGGAAATTGGGAATTCTGATGGAGTTATCTTATCCTGTCATGATTTGTGTTGAAATAACACATGTCCGTTATTGTACAAAGAAACAATGTCTGTAATAATGACTTTCAGTTATCACAGACATTTTCATCAGGTGAAACGCATATCAGATGCTTTCAAATTTACCGCTGTTTGTTTTGTTGTTAATATCTCGTGTAATTTCAAATATTAGTAAGGTATCATTGACGAATTGCTAAAATAATCCCAAACACATGAAAATATTATATCAATTCCGCTAAAAAAGATGTATTGAAGACGAAGTTATCATCAAAATACAACAAACTGGTTGTCACTGTGCCTACGTTGTTTCACCGAAAATGGTGCAAATAATAATGTAAACATGTTGAAATCACACCAGATCTTAACAACAAAACAAACCGGTAAATTTGAAAGTATCTGACCTGATTTGCGTTTCATCTGACGAAAATGTCTGTGATAACTGAAAGGCTTTATTACAGACATTGTTTCTTTCTACAATAACAGACGTGTTATTTCAACACAATTCATGACAGGAGGAGATAACTCTGTCAGAATTTCCACAATAGCAGTATGCCTGTTATTTTCTGTAATCATTTAATTTCAATCAGAATCAATAATAAATTTTCTTTTTTATTAAAAGTACAAGTGATTTTTTGTCTATTGTTATTTTTTAGCATTTCAATTGGGGGGGATGGTGTAGATTAACCCCTATTCATAAGTGTGGCAAGTTGGCAGGCTTTTATTGACTAGAATTAATCTTTTCATAATTAAGGTGAGTTGGCAGACCTTTGTTCTTCTGTATTAAAATTCTTTTCATAAGTATGGCGAGTTGGTAGGCCTCAATTCATCTGGATTTTACTCTTTTTCTTAAGTGGGCCAAGTGGACTCCTTTTCAAGGGTGGGGCAAGTTAATATACTGAAGTGGGGCATTTTTGCAATAGAGCCAGTTGTCTTGCTTCCGTACTGGATGGAAGATATATTATTTATTGATGGTTTTGGAGAGCTTATTTACAGTGTTATAATGACTAGGTGCTCACTATAGCTCACATGGCCTAAAAGGAGCTTATTTGAAACACAAGCACTTGGTGTCTGTCTGTTGTCAACTGTATGTTGTCAAAAACTTTTTTTAAATCTTCTCTGAGGGTCACAATGCCAACACCAAGTGAAGTGAACGACATCATTGCCCTAGGATTCCTGACTTTTGTTCTTAAAAGAAGCTCCAAGTTTATGTCGCCCTTGATTTTTTGTAAAATTCCACAATGTTGATTCGTTAATTTGGAAATATTCTCGATCCAAATTCACATGATTCTGATAATTGATGAAAAAAACATGTTACTCCAGAATCCAGTATTGATATGTTCGCTGTCTTTGAAAATTATCAAATTAAATGCTTCATTACAAATTTTCATATCTTTTCACAGCATTGCATAAAGTAAACTGGAATCCGCTTGTATTTAGCACTATGAGTATGAACAAATTGTAGCAGTCAGTTGGAAATTAGCAAAATAGTGTACAAATTAAAAAGTGTAATGGGTTTATATTTGTTCATATTTTATGTTCATACTGCTGCTATAGTTTTGTTTTGGTTAAAACTAATGCATATATGCATGTGATGAATAAGTTTAATGGTATTTTACTAAAGGACAATACTATTTTACTTCCAAAGTTGTATATTTTTGTAATACAATATCTGTTATGGTCAAGGAACAGTAAATGGGCTATATGTACATGTATGTCTGTCACAGATTGTGGTAAAATTTTGCATACAACTTTGACTTTGACTTTGTAATATACAAAATGTACATGTATCTATTATTGTCTAGGAACAGTAAATGGGCGGCTACATGTACATGTATGTCACAGATTGTGGTAAATTTTTGCATACAACTTTGACTCGTTGAACTATAACTGCAAATCTTAGAAATAAAGTATTAATCTCTTTATTTTCTGAAAAATTAATGAATGTAATTCTTTCAAAATAAGTGAGCTGTGAAAAACATTCTTTTAATTGTCTTAAAATCATAAAATCTTCAATTTTTAATCAATAGATTTTTCTTAAAAAAAAAACATATGTTGTTGTCAACTTGTTGATACATACAGTAACTGGTAACATACATGTAAATGTCTGTTTTCTAAATACAAAATCTTTTTTTTTCAGGTACAAGGAGGAGATTTTCCACATTTATTGGTATATGGACCATCTGGTGCTGGGAAGAAGACCAGAATTATGTGTCTCTTGAGAGAGATGTATGGCTCTGGAGTGGAAAAACTAAGGATAGAACAGCACACCTTCACTACACCCTCAAATAAAAAGATTGAAATTTCTACTATCTCTAGTAACTACCATATAGAGGTCAATCCTAGGTAGTTATTGTAGTATAAGGCTAAAAATATATGTCTGCTTTTAAATTGTACAGCTCAATTTAAGATCATGAAGAAAGAGGGGCCATGTTGTGTGGTTTTTATCATTCCATGCTTTTCTTTTAATCTTGTTTTAACTCAACTTTTCATCACTTTACACAGTGGTTACACTTTTACATACATATTTTAATGATTTTTTATTTTTTTTGAATTTTAGTGATGTAGGAAACCAAGATAGAGTTGTTATACAGGAACTGATAAAGACTGTTGCTCAAGTTAATCAACTAGAAACATCAACACAAAAAGATTTCAAAGGTTGGGAACAGAACTGAAAAAAGATCACTATTTACCTTAATTTATACCTTTCCAAGTATTCACCATTTAAACATTCAAGAAATGTTAGATAGCTATTTAAGCATATGTTAAAAAAACAATTCATTTGTTTTGATTTGTATTGTCACTAAGATTTAGGGGCCTTTAGGGCATATACTTCTACAGAAATAAAGTTTTTAGAAAAATAAATTATACTTTCTGATGCTTCCATATTTCTAATTACAAATCACAAAAAAAAACTTAAAAGTAAACAGTGAAAAAAAAATAAAAATTATGAGTTATTTGCATGACAAATTAGTTTTAAATGCAGAGCATGAACATTACAATCAACTTGAAGTACTTTATAAAAATAAAATGATGCGGTAAGATTGCCAATGAAACAACTCTTCACCAGAGACCAAATGGTGGAGAAGTAAGCAACTATTTGTCACTGTACAGCCTTTAACAATGATCACAACAAGCAAAAAAAAACCAGCAAGCTATAAATATAAAGAAGGCCAGAAATCAGAAATGTTTGTTCCGAATTTAATGCATGTATTTATTATTGCGAATCTTTGAATTATTGATGCAATTTTATAGTTTTGTATGTGTTAAAATGGAGTTTTATTCACTAAATCAACATAAAATCTTTTTGAGTTTGTGAATGGGTCAGCCTTATTTACACCAAAATAAACTTTATTACTATAATTAGAGTCTCGAAGAACTCACTGCTTCAGGTACAAGTATTTGTAGATAAAGTTATTCTTATATTTGATTATGTTTATTTTGTTTTCTAAAACCTTTATTTTGAACAGTGGTCATATTGACAGAAGTTGACAGGTTGACTAAAGATGCCCAGCATGCATTGCGTCGAACCATGGAAAAGTACATGGCTACCTGTCGTTTGATCTTGTGTTGTAATTCTACCAGTAAAGTTATCCCAGCTATCCGTAGCAGATGTCTGGGAGTAAGAGTGCCAGCTCCATCAATAGAGGAGGTACAATTTATAAACTGGGTGTAGCCTAAGAATGTACAAAAGTTTTAACAAAAATACCAAACTGCATGGTAAATTAAAAAAGGGGAATAATTAAAACCTGACAAAACCAAACGTTCGACTATATCAACCATCAGAATGAATATTAATGGAAAACAACTTTCATGTTTCTGACTTGGTACATGCATTTTTTTCAAAGAAAACTGAGGGTTAAACCTGATTTTATAGCTAGCTTAGCCTCCCTATATTGAAGTGGTATGCATGTACAAAACAAACATGACTTTTTTCTTTTTTTTTTTAGAAATTTGCACTCGCAAGATAGAATTTTGGAAACCATGAATAACAAAAATGATAAGCCTCTTAAAGGTTGATTATGTCATAATAACAGTGGGAACAAATATATTCTCCTGTTGTCCATGAGATTATAAAAATCTGTATAAAAAATGAGCCAACAATTTATCCAGAAACAAAGAACCGCAAGAAAAGTATTTTTTCTCCTTGCAATAAAAGTGCTATTGAGATGACATTTGCTTATATGCTTTGTTCTGTTACTAATTCATTCACATTCTCTCATTATCTCCTTTCATTCATATGCCTTGCCTTAGATATTTGATAAGAAAATAATAGAAGTGTAAAAAATTCAAATGAGTCTATGATAACTATTTGTTTAAACAATGCAAAAAGTCACCAGGGTAGATCTTGAGATCTATTTAAAAAGAAAAGGTAAAAGAAATAAAACTTCTTTAAAGGAGTAGGTCCGGTAAGGGCCGATTTTGGCCCCAAATTTCAGGTTCATCTGATGAAAGATTTTGGACACTTTTTAAACACTTAAGTGTCTACTTTAGTAGAATCAATTTATTTATGTGAAAGATTTGAACTGATTTAGTCATTAAAGACGTTCATATTCAAGCTTAAATGTTATAAATCTACCAAATATGCCAGAATATGTCACTTTTCAGATGGTTTTTGTCAAAAATGAAAGTGGCCGCATCCGTGTTCATCCTCAACCTTTATATGTGTTATGTATTATCATCAAATACAACTTACATTTAAATATTAAGAATGAACACAAATGCGGCCACTTCCATTTAAGACGGAAACCGCCTAAAAATCAACTCAAATGCAAAAATTATGAAGATTTCAGTAATTTAGCATGACTTAATGATGCTAGTACCCGATAAATATGCATTGTATTATCAAAAACAGCCCATAAGTATGTAACAGAAGTATTCTAATTTCCAATGAAAAGCTAAAAGTTTACATTTTAACAATTTTGTAAAACTGCTATATTTTGGGGCCAAAAAGGGGTCTTACTGAACCTACTCCTTTGTATATGCATGGTTTTCTATTTAGTTGTATTCTTATTTTAGGTCTGCCAAGTTCTTCAAAATATTTGCAAAAAAGAGTCATTAAATTTGCCTTCAGAGCTGGCTAGAAGAATAGCAGAGAAGAGTAACAGAAATCTACGACGTGCAATACTGATGTGTGAAGCCTGCAGAGTACAACAGTATATATCAAATAGGATTTAAATTTTCAACTCACTTTGTTTAATTGATCAATATATATGTGTTTTTGATGTCACTGGCCATCTGTCAATGTTCAATTTCACCATCTACTCGTGTATCTGAAAATGTTTATTGTAATGTTTGTAAATTTTTAATGCAAATTGTAAGACATAAAATGGATACCTTTTCCAGTGGAGACAACCTCATTGATTTTATTTTACATATTACTAATTTTCTGTATTAAGGAATGCTGTAATATTTGCTCTTGAACTTTATAAAGCTGTTTTGTAACATGATAGCAATTTTCAAATCTGCTGGGCAGTAATTTCTTTTTGACAAAATTTGAATTATTATTATTCCCATTGAGCATGGATTTTTTTGTACATGTTACCCAGCTTATGATTGGATGAATACTGAGTTGTAATGTTACTGAGTAGTCACTTCCTTTTTACGGATACTTTATTTTTTTGATTACTCACTTATTATAGAATTTCTTATCAATGTCTAATAACAAGTAGGGATGTTTTAGTTGGTTTAGATTTAGAATAGTGTGTGTATATGGACTATTCATGTTTTCCAGCAGATAGTTTATCTGATGCACAAATCTTAGTGTCATAAAATTGGCCTTTATTGAAAAACTTAAGAAAAACCTATATGATAGGTTGATTACAATTTATATATCCAACATGATCATCAGCACCATCATGGCATAAATTCCTTTGTTGTTGTATGCATGAATTTTAAAATTATTGTCTGCTGCTTAAAAATGGTCAAGGGGAGGTAATTCATGGATAAAATTCAAAATCACAACCAGTTGACAATATTGAGTTTGTTTAGGTTTTAAGTGATTGATTTTTGTTTTTTGTAATATCAAAAGTAACTCATTTAATTTGGTTACTTTAAAAGAAAACAGTGTTCGGTATGACAACAGAAGAAACCAGAAAAATTCTAAATGATTGGAAGACAATTATGTTAGAGCAAAAAGTATTTATTCCCAAAGTTGTTCAAAAGTTTTCTACCAACAGGAAGCCTTAAAATTAAAAGTCTGACACTCCTTATATCCTATTTAAAGTCAGTATTGTAGCACAATATTAGAAAATATCATAATATCTCGCAAGACAAATCAAAAGTACAAAATAGAAAGTCTTGACTGCATTTCTATTTTTTCAAACTTGATCCATTTCAGACAAAATTTCACTGCAGATCAGGAAGTGACAGAACCAGACTGGGAATTGTATCTTAAAGAAACAGCTCAGTTGATAGCTCAACAACAGAGTCCTAAGAGGTTATAATTTCTTGATTTCCTGTATTCATTATTTGAAAATAATGGTGCTTTTTGAGTCCCTTATTGTATGTAATTTTATCAATTCTGAAGGAAAAAAGAACGTTTTTTGTTGTTGATAGTTAACATATGAAACTGTCCTACTTAAAAATTCAAAAATATTATAACTACATTCCATAATAACCTTGTAAGTAAAACATGTAGGTGCTGCTTAATACCTGGAGATTTGGTATGGAAAATGGTTGTTTTATTAGAAGAAAAACATTTTTGCAGTTTTGTAAAAAAAATTTGTCCCATATATGTCATGTATGATAACTACTATTATGATTTAAAGGATTTAGAAATGATTATTTATATTTGACAGGTTATTAGAAGTAAGAGGAAGACTTTATGAACTGTTAACACATTGTATACCACCTGATGTTATCATAAAGGTATTTAATTGTTACACCCAACTTCTGCTATCCTGCTTTCACCTTGTTCTTATGTCTGTTTATCCAACAAATGTTTTTCGTCGCCCATTTCTCAAAAATCTACTGAACAGAATGACTACGCAGCCTAACCGTGACAAGTTGTAGTATGTGTGCTTTTTGGATCTGTCCTTTTCAGTTTTACGATACTTTAAATTAAGAAAGGGGTATGCTAAGTGCAACAACATATACATGCTTGATGTTCATAGATTGCCTGCGATTATGGATGTTTGTTGCTACTAATTCAGAATGATTTTAATATGGAATTTTTTTTCAATAGATGATGTATAATAGATCAAAATTCAGGAAAAATGGAGAAAGTAATGGATGTTTGTTTTTATACCCCTGCTTTAAAAAAGTGGCTGTGTACTACTGTTTTACCCCTGTCTGTCCGTCCATCCATCCGTCCATCTCGAGAATATTTTTCGTCGCATCTTTCTCGGGAACTACATTACAAGGATTTCTGAAATTTGGTGTCAGGGTTTATATGAGTCAGCTATACCATGTGATGCGTTTTCAGATTCATCACTCAACAACTTCTGTTTACCTTATACTTTTAGCGGGGCGGGGGTATCATTAGTGAGCAGTAGCTCACAAATTCACTTGTTGAGATAGCATTAGAAAAAACTACACTTTTCAATGGGTAGCCAATATCACTGGATCTTTCACAAGAAAACAAGCACAGAAACGATATTGAAAAAAAAGTAAAAAAGGTTGTAGCAATAGCTATTTTGTCTGGAACCTATTGAAGACGTATGATTTTTTTTAATGTTATTTAGATTGATGGACTTAATATGACTTTGAAAAAAAAGAAGAAAATCTAAAAAAAAAAAAAGATACAGAACAAATTCAAAAGTAACCAATGTGAAATGCAAATCAAATATCCTTAAATTCTAGTTTTTCTAGATTTCTAATTCTGACTTCAAAAATATTAATTAGGCTATTTGGTTAAAAAAGGACTGGTTTTTCATAGTTTTCGAACTTTTACATTTTTGCCAATTGAAAGAAAATTATTCATTTCTACCTGAATTTAGTATGAGTGTGTTCTATATCAGTAACTGTGAGAAATAGTATAAAATACCATTCCTTTCAGCAGTTTTTAGATTTGGATGAAGGTAAAATATTTCTTTTTGACAAAATCAATAGAAAAATATTTTGCAATATGAACAATTTTAATTATGGATTTATTTATTTTGATTTATATCAAATTTATTTCTGAACCTTGAATATATTTGTTATGAGATATGATCATGTTTAGAAGCATTAACTTTTAAGGTTAAATTTAGATTTATTTTACTGATATTACGTAAAAAGTAAATTTGTAACTTAGTTACATGTCAGCTCTGTAGTTGTCAAAGGGAAACAACTTTACATAAATGTTCCAAGTGCAGCATATTATGTAAGGCAGAGAAAAAAGAAAGACAAACAATCACTGCTCTAGTCTGTGGTTTGCTTTAGAATCTTGAAATTTAGGAAGAAAGTTTTATATATCCAATAAACAGACATTTGATTAATTGTATTTTATGGAAAATCATTGATAGATTTTTATGACTAGTAACCATTTGGCAAAGTTTATGAAAATAAGGAGATTAGTTCACTTTATGTGCTTTCATTTGAGTAGGTCTTTTCTTCAGATTAACCAAGTAATATAAAGGTTATAGACCAGCATTACCACTAAATATAGAATAATGGCATTTTTGTTGTGCCCAACCTACAATAATAGAGGGGCATTATGTTTTTCGGTCTGTTCGTCCGTCTGTCTGTCCCGCTTCTGACAGGTTTAATTTTTGGTCAAGGTAGTTTTTGTCGAGCCTGCGACTTTTGTCGCGCAGAAAGCTCGACATAGGGATAGTGATCCGGCAGTGGCGGCGGCTTTAGCTAACTTCTTAAAAGCTTTATATTTTAGAAGTTGGAAGACCTGGATGCTTCATACTTGTATGTAGATGCCTTATGTTATGAAGTTTCTGTCTGTTATATGTCCATTGTCCTTGACCTTATTTTCATGGTTCAGTGACTACTTGGAAAAAAATTTAATATTTTTTGTAATGTTAATTTCTCTCTTATTATTAGTAATAGGATAACTATATTTAGTATGTGCATACCTTGCAAGGTTCTTGTGCCTGTCAGACAGTTTTCATCTGACCTCGACCTCATTTCATGGATCAGTGAACAAGGTTAAATTTTCGTGGTCAAGTCCATATCTCAGATACTATAAGCAATAGGTCTACTATATTTGGTGTAAGGAATGATTGTAAGGTGTACATGTCCAACTGGCAGGTGTCATCTGACCTTGACCTCATTTTCATAGTTCATTGGTCAATGTTAAGTTTTCATAGTTAAGTTTGTTTCTTAGATACTATAAGCAATATATGTCAACTATATTTAACGCATATATTGATTGTAAGGTGTACATGTCTGTCTGGTATGGTTCACCTGACCTTGACCTCATTTTTATGGTTCATTGGTCAATGTTAAGTTTTCCAGGGTTAAGTTCTTTTTCTAAGAAACTATAAGCAATAGATCAACTATATTTTTGTATGGAATGATTGTAAGGTGTACATGTATTTCTCCGTCCACTGAACAAAGAAAATGATAGTGCGAGTGGGGCATCCTTGTACTATGGACACATTCTTGTTTTTGATACTGACTTTAACAGCGTGAATATTAAGCGAGCCCGCTGGGGCGAGCTGATGAAGTGAGTATCAAAATATAAAATGCCATTATTCTTTTTATCAGCAATTTTTCTTAACTTATTTTTTGTTTGTTTGAGAATATTACATAAAATGAAATAGTTAGTAAAACTACTTTTCTGGTACAAAATTGTACGGTTGTATGAATGAAGTCACATGCATTTCATTGATAAATTGACATGGATGGACGAGCATGTGACGTCGCTGCACAGATACATGACGTCATTGCCTAATATTTTCAAGTATTAAGTCATGTCAATGATCTTAAAAATATTAAGCAGTAAGATCAAATGAAAAATGTACTAATTGCTGATAATTTTGAATATTAGGCAGAAATGACTTCTCTATTTAAATTTTCCAGTAAGAAGTAGTGAGACTTGGAAATGGAAGTGCTCAATCATCCATGGCACTACTTTGTTTGCTTGCTACAGTATATTTTCATCTTTATCCTATTTGTTGCATACTGTTGTGTTTGTTACAATCCAATATATTTGTTTTGTTGTATGACGATATTAAGTAACATAATGCAACTCTTTTTTTTGTCTGTCTTCACTTGTTACCCTTAACTTCACCTGAACTAATTGAAGATATTTCCATGAAACTTTCAGAGAAATATAAGTATTAATAGTATTGTGAACCTTATATTTTATTTTAATCCAAATAGTTATTTTGGTTTTTCAAAGCCAAATTTAGACTTAGCTTTTAGTACAAAAAGAGGTTGGGAATATTGTAATTCTTCCTAAAAAAAAATTCTGTGGATACATTTATTTTCATGTGTTTTATTTTTCATTGATTGAGAAATACTTTTTCTATGGTGCTATTTGATTTTTTGGATTTGCCAAAGTCTGCATAACAGCCTATAGAATTTTTTTCTGTGCTGAATGAAAATTGCATATTAAAGAATCACAGTAATTTGATTTCAATTAAAGCTGTACATTTTTAGGCAGTTAAGCTGCCTTATGCGAGCACCCTAGATTTGTGTTCTACCCAATAAATGCTGAAATACGTGCCATTGTTATTATCTAGCTGGATATAATGTTATTTATAACTAATTGAAGTTTTTTCATACTTTTAATTCTGGATTACAAAAATATGACCAGAAAAAACCTTAAATGATCGTCGAACCACCCAAAAGTTTTGAAGTTGCACATAGGAAGTAGAGCACATTAGGAATCCTTATGTAGTTTATTATCCCCTGTGCTTTTGGCTAAGATGTCAAAGAACAATTGTATAAAATATTTAATCGCCGAAAATCTTTAAAGACAAGTAGTTTAGATTTCCCAAATGGCAAAAGTCGTAGGAATATTGTTTGTCGTCAATACGTGTTACAACTACGTCAGTAGTCTATTAATAAGTTCCACTGTTCATGCTGTTGGCGGCAATTTCAAATTAGAAGACGAAATTTTCGTATCTTTTCAATTTGGAGGCAGGGGTTCAAATTAGCGGTGGTCCGAGGTCCGCAACCTTCCACTTTTGCAATCGGACACTCGACTTGGTTACTAGCTACGCCCGACGGTCCTTTCACTTGAAAGAAAATTAAAAATAACTTTGCAAACCTTTTTACCAAAGTCTCTAAATAAACGATCTCAAAACGTATTTTCATCTTTATTATTCATGAGAGCGATGTTCATTTTGTTCAACCGCTAGCTTTATACAGATAATCGCCTACAAGTAATGTGTAAATTCGAGTAAAATCGTATCTGACTGACAAAAACAACATTGAAAAACAATGGATGCCGTGTAGACAATTACAATATCGGGTCCGATTCCGGAAGCGGATAAGGTTAATTCCGGGTTTTGGAGATCAACTAAAAAAAAAATTTCAGGCAGGTGACAAAATACATCTATGCATGGTAAATAAATATAAACACTAGAAATGGAAACCAAAAGATATATGTAAAAGAAAGAAAAAGCAAAAAATATTTGATACAGAAACTCAAAATTACTTTTTGACAAATTTTAATGTCAAAATCCAATACAATGTGACAGCTGGGAACAGTATATCTAACAATATATATGTTCCTGGTGACAGTATAAATCATCTTTATCAGTGATAAATGTTGATAATGCATGTAAGATGCTTTTAAAGTGTAAACATATTACTGCAATTTTTTTCTCAATTTTGAAGGGTCAGTTAACATAGTTGGAAGTTTCTTACTTTGTTTTCGCAAATAGTGCAACTAGATTATATGATACCTGAATGTAAGCAAATCATATGATATATAGGTGGAATCCTTTGGGTCACTCTACCCCCTCCTGTTTGATAACTTTGAAACGGATGAGATCCCCACCCCTAAACCATATATATTCATGTATGGGACTATATAACTAATCAAATGAAATATAGGGGAAGTCCCTAGGGTTACCCCACCCCTCCTGTTTGAGAACTTGGAAACAGTCGAGATCCCCACCCCTAAACCATATATATTCATGTATGGGACAATATAACTAATCAAATGAAATACAGGGGAGTCCCTGGGGTCACCCCAACCCTCCTGTTTGGGAACTTTGAAATGGTCGAGATCCCCACCCCTAAACCAAATATATTCATGTATGGGACAATATAATAAATCAAATGAAATATAGAGGGAGTCCCTGCGGTCACCCCACCCCTCCTGTTTGAGAATTTGGAAACGGTCAAGATCCCAAGACAAGACAAGACAATTTATTTAAACTTAAGCACACATATGGTGCTACAAGAGGATAACAATTATACATTAACAATTACATATATACTTATACATTTACAAGCAAGACACACAATAAATAAATAAGTGATATCATACAATAAAATTGAAATAAACCATAGTTGGTTGATTTGTTTGCAAAATTCTTAATTGCAACGTGGATATGAAGTTATTGTAACATGCTTTGTATTATGAAAATACACGTGGCACGTTACAGTGTGATAATAGACCAGAAAGTTTCAATTGGGAAGGATTTTGTGTGTAATATGTAGGTATATATCTTTCTCTTAAAGACATAATTTGTTCATTGGAGCATACAAAAAAATAATGATCCCATAAACCATACATATTCATGTATGTGACAATATAACAAATGAAATGAAATATAGGGGGAGTCCTTGGGGGTCACCCCACCCCTCCTGTTTGAGAACTTGGAAACGGTCGAGATCCACCCCTTAACCATATATATTCATGTATGGGACAATATAACAAATCATATGAAATATAGATTGAGTGCTTGGGGCCACTCTACCCCTTCCTGTTTGAGAATTTGAAAACGGTCGAGATCCCCACCCTAAACCATATATATTCATGTATGGGACAATATAATAAATCAAATGAAATATAGGGGCAGCTCCTATGGTCACTGTAAACCATCCTGTTTGAGAACTTGGAAACGGTCGAGATCCTCACCCCGAAACCATATATACTCATGTATGGGACTAAATAATCAAATGAAATATAGGGGAGTCCCTGCAGTCACCCCACCCCTCCTGTTTGAGAACTTGGAAACAGTCGAGATCCCGACCTCTAAATTAAACCATATATATTCATGTATGGGACAGCAGAACTTATCAAATGAAATATAGGGAGAGTCCTAAGGTTCACCCTACCCCCTCCTGTTTGATAACTTGGAAACAGATGAGATCCCCACCCCCTAAACCATATATACTCATGTATTTGGCAATATAACAAATCAAATGAAATATAGGGGAAGTCACTGGGGTCACCCCACCCCCTCCTGTTTGAAAACTTGATAACGGTCGAGATCCCCACCCCTAAACCATATATATATTCATGTATGGGACAACATAAAAAATCAAATGAAATATGGGGTTAGTCCCTAAGGTCACCCCATCCCCTCTTGTGTGTGTTTTAAGAACTTGTAAAAGTTTGAGATACCAACTCCTAAACCATATTCATTCCTGTTTGTCATTTCAAACAGATTTGAATGACATACAAGGTCAATCTCATAGGCATCACATATGCATATCACTTTACTAGACCTAATCAATGTGTACTAGACTTTGCCCAATGTCAGGCGACCATGGGAATGAATAATTATGGCAGCTTTGTTTGGGAGACTTCGTAACAGCATTCTGTTACAATTATTTCTTGTTTATTATAAAATTTTATAGATGCAAAAAATTAGTAGGTTTAAAGAATTTACCTTAATTATATTTTGAATAATTTCTGGTTCTATAAAAAATTTCATTTTAATATGGCTCATTTTAAAGAAAACATATCTTTCAAGCCCAAGAGTGTTTGACCAACTTTATTATAATCACCTGTCATTTTATTCCAAACTTAGACATCATGGACTTGGGGTGAAGGCGGGGGTCATTTACATTTACTATGGGCAGGTCAGTCAGACCTCACCTTTGATCCCCGTAGTAGTAAACATTTGTCTGATTTGTGTCTCATAACTTTTGCACTGTAGAACACAAACTCAGTTTTCTTTCCAGGGAAGCAAGTCCATGCATAATATTACAAGCTCGTACTAAGTCAACTTGAACTACTAACAGTCAACTAATACCAACGTTAACTATCAACTAGAACAACTGCAATCATTTCGAACTTGTACCACTGCAGACACATGACCATTAAAAATATACTTGATATATGCGTTGCTTTTGAAAACCTTGATAAAATATGAATTATTTGCCTTAATAATTAATTCATTAAATGAACATAAATGCACAATATATGAATGTTTAATGTTTGTTCTTTTAAATCTTAAAAAAAATGAAGCAACATAGCCACAGTTTTCATAATTATGTTTGCCTTGGTTTTTGGTTAACTGCCTACAGCGCTTACAGTGCTTTGATTCCTAATCTGATTGTGTGATGGTCAGTTGTTCATTGTCCACTATCTAATTCCAGGGATTACTACAAGAGTTGATATCTAACTGTGATGGTCAGTTGAAGACAGAAGTTGTCCAGACTGCAGCTTATTATGAACACAGATTACAAATGGGACAGAAAGCTATTTATCACCTTGAAGCTTTTGTTGCTAAATTTATGGCAATTTATAAGAGATTCTTAGAGGAAGGCATTGCAGATTTATTCTAACTGATCAGGAACAAAATAAACTATTGACTGTTATATATAATATTTAATAAAAAAAAAATCTATTAGTTTAAGTGTTTTCAGATGAACTTTATATGAATATAAGATCTTGAGTTTTAGAACAAAATTTTGTTGTATGGTAAATATAAAAAAATCATGTTTCCAGATAAATGGACAGCTTTTTTATTGGTGATTGGGAAAATAAAAAATCCAGTCAAATTTCTACTTTGGAGATCGTCAGAAAGCTATGCATTGTTGGGATCAATACAATGAAGTCTGCATGAAATCAGCAAGTTATGGTTTAAGTCACCTAAAGATAGGTTTTCAACGGGGTAAGAGGGTCAAAATAGAAAAGTTTGGTTGAAGTTTATAAGTGAAAATCTTTTTAGTTCATCCCAATTGCTTAATTTCGCCTGTCTGAAAATACAAAAGAATGCATAGGAAAATGTCACGAGATACGTCTTTTCAACCTCCACATTGAAACAACAACTATCCCAGAACTTTCCTATAGTCTATGTGTCTTAATAGAACAGTAATTTAAGATCCATTTTGTGAGTTACTTCCCTTTGGAAGGATATAAATTTTCGTTGACAATGAAGAGCTGGAAGAAAGAGAAATTTCATCTTGGTAATGTGCGTACAAGTTTTTCTAATCACATTTAATCTTTTGTTAAGCTAAAAACTTTTGATATCAATATAAAAAATTGGACAAAACTATGATTTTCAACTTGTCATCCTCTACATGAGCAGCAACCTGTTTTGTCCCTTATAGAACTAGTCCTCAATTGGCAAAGGAAAACAACTGGAGGTATAAGTATCAAATTGGTAAAAGGCAAATAGACTTTTCATGACCCAAAATCACTACATGCAAAAAAAAAAACCAAAAGAAAGGAATATTTGTATGCTGTTCTTCATCTTGAGTACAGTGATGCTTTCAACTTGGGGTAAAATCTCTGAAAATTCCCTTTTGAGCAGAATTCCTGCTTTACTTGATGTAGATCACGTGATGTCTGTGCATTCAAAAACTCTGCCATTGGGTAATATCAACAAATTATAAAATGGAATGACAAAGACAAACATATATATGGGATATCTTAGGGAAATTGTCTATGGAGTCACTGGAGTGCTTAAAAAATTCTATAAACTGGTCAAAAAGCGAGAAAATTAAGCAGCACAAATACCAGAAGTTATCTGAAGAAAGAGCATGTCTTCATTGCTGATATAATAAGGATAGTAACTGTTTATGGCCTTGTCATAGCATTGAAGACATAATTAAATGGACAGAAAATATATGGTTAGTAATGTATGACACGAAACAAATCAAAAAAGCAAAGGAACAGGACTTATATAGATATTTTTCATGTTGAAGTCACACTGAAGCCATCAAATGGAGCATTGGTTCATCTGAATAATCCTTACGATGATTAAAACAGTTTAGGAAGTAAAAATGGACTGAAATGTAAGTCAAATCCCTCTGGCTGGGTCCATCTGACCTTCACCTAATTTCCATGGTTCATCTGATGTTTAGTTTACCTGGTTAAGTAATTTTTTTTCAGATACTATAATCAATTTGTCAAATATATTTGGCATATGGCATTATTGTAAGGTATACATAAAATTGAGAATAGAAACGGGGGAATGTGTCAAAGAGACAACAACCCGACCAAAGAGCAGAAAACAGCCCAATGCCACCAATGGGTCTTCAACACAACAGGAAATTCCTGCACCCAGAGGCGGGCTTCAGCATGTCAATCTTGCAAGGCACATTTGATCTTGACCTCATTTTTATGGTTCATTGGTCAATGTTTAATTTTCTTAAATAATTTATGTATCATGTATGTATAGTCCAAGATTGCTCTGACGTCCTTTTAGGACTTCCTGGGATCATGGTCCAGTAAGTCCTCAAATGGCATTCGGTGACCTATAGTTGTTAACTTGTATGTCATTTGGTCTCGGGTGAAGCGTTGTCTCATTACATTGGCAATCGTACCACATCTTCTTAATTTTATATTCATACATTAGGGCAATCTCGTACTATTCGTTCCTTTTGTAATTTTCCCTTTCTGAAGTTTCTCATGAAGGAAGATTTTTTTCAGTAAAGAAAATGATCAGCAATTAGAGGTGCTCAGTTATATTAGTACCCATAGGGAAATGCTTGCAGGTCGCATATACATGAGATTTGAATGTAACCTTAGTTAATATAGGTCAATGAAGTGCAAAATGTAAGTAAGCATGGTCTATTTTCAAAGGGCGACTGCACTTTCTTATTTGCATCACAACACCATGTAAGTTATAAGATTGAAGTTGCTCAGTATCTGAGATCTAAACACTGATGTGAAACGTATATCAATGAAGATGAAAATATAGGTCGGATTGACCTACTTTTTAATAGAAATTGTTGAACTAGTTGTATCATTGTGCCAGGTTGTATATGCAGTCAGGATTCTACTTCGTCAAAATTATCTCCCCATTACGCCAGTTTGTTTTTACAATCGTAAAAATGGAAGCCATTGTAGGGATGACGCGCTGCCAATTTAGCTCTTGAAAACCGATAAATTTATCCGCATAGCACCATTACTATCCTTATATGCCAGTTGTATTTTAAATAATGAATGTATCTACTAGCTAATGAGCATCGGTTAATGTACTTATCTGCATTCAGTCAACTTAAAACAATTGTCTGATCGGTAGTCAGGTGGAATTTTCGAAAATTCATAAACATTTAAAAAAAATTCTAATTCAATATTTCGTGGAAGGGCAGACTAAAAATTTTCAGTGGTTGAAGACAATAAAACCTAGATATCACACACAAAAAATGAAGTTTTTTCGAAGATATGCATTTTTAAGATCCAAATTAAAAGTCTGTCGTCAAGTACTTTTAGTAAAAATTTGCTATTCGAACACACCTACTCTGTTTTTGTGATTCATTAGAAAGGTGTTTCACTTGACCTATATATTGCATTTTTTAGTACTGTGCATTTTCGATGTTATAAAGTCAACCTGTAGCCTTGATATATAAAACTGATAGAATCTGAAGCGAGATGATGTGTCAAATACTTTTGCTTTTTACGTGTTCAAGACAAAATATTCAACTCAAACACGCCCTAACATAAAAAGGTGCACTCGATTTTATCTTTCGATGCAATTGTTACCCATTTTTTGGAATTTTTTCTTGAGTCACATAATGGAAGGGCAGAAACAAAAATTGAGGAACAAATAGATTGATATGTTCTCCATCCGTGGTAATTTTTTTTAGAAAAATCGGAGTTTATGCATTTTTTAGATCCAACTTTATAGACACCCATGTCGTCGACTTGATATCTAATTGTTCTGCTTAATTATTTAATAGATCAATTGAAAAATTAGGCAAATTGTGTTTTTATGATAAAATATTTCGTAATTTAGCAAAAAACTGTCATTTTATTTGTTTCTATTAACTTTTAAAATTTGTGTTACTACAGTAAACATTACAGTAAGCATTTATCGCCTTCTCTAACAAAGAGCTTCGATTCTTTTGTTCTATTTCAACTGGGTTTCCGCCTGTATGACTCCAGGTGAATAAACGTATTAATCCAAAAGAACACCAGCTTAATAAAGCTAAATTTAGTAAAACTTCATTAAAGTTTTGAAATTTATTCAAACCCATTACACCATGAAATAATGCCATTTATTTCATTGCACATGGTCAGTCGCTTCAAGATGATCTGTTCACCACATGTATTCATTTGTTAGAAATGACCGAAGATGTGCACATACACTCCAACAGGCCCACATCAAGTTAGTTTAAGAAAAGGGAAAATAATTAACCAATGTCGAACTTTACATATTTTTTCTTTGGCTTATCTGAAATCGAGGACCTTGTAAATATGTTTTAACATTTTCAACCTAGATGGTCTAAAATTTTTCGTCCGTCTGTTTATTACCTCGTTATTCACATTGATTTAAGCTTGCCTTACACAAATGATCAGCTTGCGTGTTTATGAAAACACTTGATATATTGCCCAAATAGTAACGAAACAAATGGAAATTGAACAGTTCCAAAAAGAGAATCAACAGATCAAAATGAGGTATGTTATTTTATTTCAGATTGTTTTCATAAAAAAGTAGTATTTTGAAAATTCCATTTTTCGGAACTTGACTGCATATATATCCCCTTCATAAAAGAACATGTAAGATAATGAAGCGTTAAAATACAGTATATTTGATAATGTGTGTTACTTCTATTGGGTAGGAATTCTTTAGCCCCTAACTTCGCACCTCCTTCAATTATTGCTAGAGACATTTTATCGTTATTCGTCAAAGCTGTCTTCTGCGTGCACCAGTAATTCCTTACCACCAAGTTTCGCACCTCATTCAGTTACGGTAAGAGAAATTTTAATATAAATTTGGCTATTTCTTTTTTTTTGTCTCTTTTGGTTATAGATTATAGCTCCTAACGTTTTTGCGTATTTATACATCCCTGGCTTTCAAATGTTTAAGTTAAAGCGTTCCTGTTGAAGGTAAATTTCAGGAAAGCGCTTTGGACGCTCGAACAATTTATTTATAAGAATTGAATGCTTCTTTGTTTAATTTTATTGGGGTGTAAAAGCGTTGACCGAAGTACATTTTATATAAAGCGCGGAATCATATATATATATATATATGACTGTTGAATCACTGTTAATTTGTTTTTCGACTTATTCGATCACGAAGGAAGATGTTGTGTTGCATACTTTGTCAAAAATAAAGCATAACTTTTTATGTTTGATGCTTAGCATACTGAGAATGTCATTGATCACGGTGGGTAAGGTTGTCCTGCGAGAGAACGTTCTGTGCTGGTGATTTGGTCCTGACTGGTGCTGGTGGGTCCTGATTCTGTGCTGGTGGGTTTATTTACATTATATCAGAACGGCAATAAAACAACCGTTCTGTTGCTTAATTTTTCCCTGATACGTCCTAAGTACCATGCGAGGAATATTACAACAATTTTTTATTGCAAAAGTCGTGCAAATTCGCCAAACGAAATTGTCCTGACGATGTGCTGGTGATTAGGTCCTGGTTCTGTGCGCCTATGTCCTGGTTCTATGCGCCTATG